ATATTGGGGGGTTAACCATGTAAAAAAAAAAAAAAAAAAAAACAGAAAAAAGAAAACAAATGCAGTCACTGGATCTCAGAACTGGTAAGCTGGAATATATTTTATTTTTGTTCTTGAGTTCCAGGTATTATAAGAGGTCATCAAGGCAGCTCCCATGATAATTTCAGTACAGGTTTCTGCTTTAAAAATATAGTCATGCAGCAATTGCGAAGAAAACTAAAAACTTTTATAAAGTAAACCCCACATATTTTATTCTTCGGTTTGGGGATTTTTCAGCTGCTAATGATAAATAATATGCTCTACGCCTATGGTAACTTGTATGACGTATGTGTACTTTTCATGAAAGAAGCTTTAGAGTCTCTTTCTCCCCAATAAATTGTTTAGCTGTTGCAAGCAAATGCTAACCTTGGTGTTCTGCAAACAAAAACTGGCACTCTAACGAACAGCAGTGCACTACATAAAGGATGGCATGTATCCTGCTTCCCACTAATGCACCCAGATAGAAGCAGAATAGATGGTAGATAATGACAACTCCTACACGAGTTGTTCATTCAGCTGTGTCATAAAGTAATCTGTTTCATATATACAAAGCTGAAATAAAAAGAATTTCAATTAGCAAGAAATAATAAGCTGCTGCAGTATACACTTCATTTTACTTTGTATAAAACAGAGCACTTGCAATTGTATATTACAATGAAAAAAAAAATATATAAAATACATTTAAATATTGCAATGACACATATTTTGACTCGGAAGCACTGGAAAAGTACACCTGTGCCAAGAAATGTATCAGCATTAATATCTGGAGAAGCTAAGACCAGATTCACATCTTTGCATTGTTCCAAGTGCATGGAAATGCACATACCGAGATATATCACATGTCCTGGAGGCATCTACTGCAACATCAGTTTTATTTTTGGTCAGGAAAATACGTTTTATTCAGGTAAGATGAAGAGGGAAATTGACACCCAGTTGTTTGGCGTCTTTATTTGTTTTAATTTCACGCACCCTTCTCCCGCAGCTTTTTTTTCCCTCATTACATATTTTTCTTCCCGTTGATTTCTCGCTTGCCCAGTTCAAAATTCAACATTTCTGGGAGCTGTGCATTCCTCCCCTGCATGTGTGTCTCTGTTCCAAATTACAGCTAAAATCCACACATGGCACGCAAAGTCAAAAGTGGGTACATTGCTGCAGAGGAACCAAATTAAAGAGAGAGTCAGTTATGCCCCATCTCCGCTATTATTGCTTATTGGCACTGACAGCCCTCTCTTGGATTCAGAGACAGGCACTCTTAATTTGTAGTGGGCAATATCTCTCCTTTCTGATGATGGTTTCCAGGGTTCTCCATTATTCTTGGTGGGATAGATAAACTCTAATGTCGTTTATCCTCTATGTTAAAATATTTTTGCTGTAGGCTGTGACCTATAGAAAAAAAGAGTCAATCAAGACAGCACTCCAAGACTACCAAAAGGCAGATTTTGATTTTTAATTCAAATGAACATATAATCCAATGTGTCGGGGCTGCGTGGGACTTCTTGAGAAAGCATTTTAATATTATTATTTATTACTGGTATTTATTTTGCTCTGACAATTTATGCAGTGCTTTACATAGTTGCACATGCACTTCAGTCTCTGCCCTCGAAGGGCTTCCAATTTAAAATCTGTCATTGTTCAAGAAACTTTTGGACGATTTCTTAAGGGACCGTAATATACAGGGGTACGGGTACTCCTAGAATGAGATCCTAATAGGTTGGACTTGATAGACTAATGTCTTTATTCAACCTCAAATACTATGTAACTATGTAAAGGTGCCCATATCTCATGCATACATACAGGGCCAATTTAGACAGGAGCCAATCAACCTTCCAGTATGTGGAAGGAAACCGGAGTACCCAGAGGAAAACCACACAAGCAGAGGGAGAACATGCAAACTCCTTGCATATGATGTCCTGCTCCGGATTCAAACAAGGGACCCCCAGTGCTGCAAGGCAGAAGTGCTACTGTCACCACCAAGCCACTCTGCTGCCCATATATAAATGCCGTGCAAACTAAATTCCATAATACTGTTAACTCCTTAATAACTTACTTCAAAAATAGGAACTACTGATAATATTCTATTTTGTTTGAAAATCACTAAAAATATGGGCTTGGCACCATGATGGTTATTAATGAAAACATGTCACAAAACATTGTACGTGAATAAAAAATATAGAAAGCCTCCAAAAAACAATAGCTTATTTTTCTTATCATTCTTTTTCTAGCTGTTAACAATAACACCAAGATGATGTACAGTATATATGGTGATTTAGTTGCTTACTGGCTGTGCAAAACATGCTTGTTATGTTCTCACTTATGTTCTCACTATGCAATCCTTTGACAAGATAATAGGACATACTTGCATCATTACTTGGTAAACTTTCAAACATTGTTCTCAAGCACCTGGAAAACTTTGCTTTGAAATAAAGTATCAACAATTAACCTCATACCCTATTTATTAAGGCCAATGTGGAAACATTTGTGTGAAATCATAATAGAACTGCCTTAACAGGAAGCACATG